AAAGTACGCCTGGACTCCCTCTACATAGTCCTCAACGCGCATCGTGCGGTTGTCTGCGAGAACACTGACTATAGGGTCTATTAACTTCTGGACCTTTAGTCCTAGCCTCAACTTCTTTAGCGCCCTACGGCTAATATAACTATGGGTAGCCCCTGAGTCTATGAGGGCCCCTACTCTACTCCTAAACACCTCTACATCTACTAAGATCAGTTATCCCTTACTCTCCTTTTTCATTTTGGCCCAGGCTGGCATCCTCTCCTTCAATGCTTCTGCCACACCTGTGAGGGACGTGCCTAAAGATACGCTAACACAAGCAGTCTCTGGACAGCTATCTAGGCACGGGCCTGCAACCTCTCCCATAGGCTCATGTGGGTTGTGAGTGTCCTGTTCGCGCGCGCTCACTTCTCCACATGGCCTTGAAGTAGGGGCAGTTGCGACCCCTACTGGCGGCTGCCTTTTGACTGTTGGGCAGCCCAACGGGCCTGTCTATACTTTGGACAAAATTTGATAATGTGGGCCGGGTCACCACAGAATACGCACTGACCCATGTTCACGCGTTCCTGCCATAATTTTCGGTCCAAGCCCAAGTCTTCCCAGGGCCTGCCCTGTGGCAAGCCTGGGTGCCAACCTCCTTGAGGTGCTCTTCCACCTCTTCGTTGTGGGGACCGATTACCCAGGCGATTTGACGGGGGACCTTGACCCCTACCTCCCGCTTGGCGGTTTCCCTGTCCGCCAACCCCCTATGCGCCCGGTCCTCGGCCTCCCATGGCCTGGCCCCTTTGGCCCTGGCCTCCTCCTCCTCCTTGCGGCCTCCCTATAGCCGCGACAGCAACGTAAGACCTCCCCTGCCCCACACTACTGCCATCATCTTCAAGGCCTCACTCAATCTGATCATACGGGACCTCATCAGTACCACCTTCCTCTAACGTCAGGATCATGTGATCCTTGGCCTTTACTTGGCCTGAGATAGTACGATTCTTCCACTTCTTCCTCTTCTCCAGGTCCTTATGCCAGAAAGTGGTAACTGGCATAGACTTTGACTCATACAGGACGACCTCCCTATTCAATTGATCGTATGTGATGCCGGCCTGCTGAGACTTGTCAAAGAAATGCCCGCGTAGGGCCTCTGGGATGACACGATAAAACAACTGGACCAACTGGGGCTCGGTGACCCCGTGGTCCGGAACGGCTACCAAGTCGTCCATAGTACCCTTGAGTGCCTTGGCACTTCTCCACTGTCGGGAGTGGATCGTTTGGAGCTTATCAGAGACTCTAATGCCTCGCGTTGGGTCAGCGAACCGCTCCTTGAGGAGCTTGAGGAATTGGGAAAGAGGAGTGACTTTGGAATATGCAACCAGGTTGTTTTAACAACCGGTTGTACGCGCAAGAGACCCGGCGAAGCTAGCCGCTTCATCTTTGAGGGCCTGGAAGGCTACGAGGACTTGCTCCTCAGTTAGGATATGCTGCAAATAGATATAACTATTGACACAGGCCTCCCAGTTGTCAAAGTTTTCCTCCTTCTTTCCCCCGTATGCGTCTGGAAACTTGAGCTTTACAGGCTCTTTGCGGGGTCTACCTTCGCCCTATGCAGCAGCTATGGCTTTGGCACCCTCAATGGCGCCTTCGCAATACTTCCCTACGTTGTCCCTCAACTGTTTCACTTCGCCCCCAATGTGGGTGACGATCTCGCGCGCAAACTCCCTAAATCCTGACCGGATGGCACTCAATGCTACATCCTGACTCCAACTAGCCTGGCGCTCCTCCATTCAGGCCTTACTCAACACCTCTAGGTAGCCCAATACTTTGTCCCATTTGGCCTTATCATCTGGCTGGGCCAATACCTCCGCTCTACACTCCTGCGCTTTTGCCACTGTTGCGGTCATCTTGTTCACCTCTTCTCTCCTCCTCCTCTTCTCCCTCTTCATCCTCAGCTTCCACTGCAACTTTTGCTCGTCTTCCCACTCTCTTCGCTCCATAGGATCCTTCATGGTTGCTAGCTCAGCGACCAATGCGGCGTTCTCATCCTCAGTCACGTATGACTTCGCCTCTTCGTCTTCCCCCAACGATAAGTTAGCAACCCACTCGCTGATCTTCTTTTCAATCTCCGCGTCGGTGTCCTCCTTCGTGCCACTACTTCCTTCTCCGCTTTCAATCCTCATCATTTCTTTTGCCTCTTCTGCTGCCGCTTCTTCTTCAACAACCTTCTCCTTCTTCTTCATCTCCTCCTCCACTTCCTTTAGCTTCGCCGCCCGCTCGTCTGCGACAGCCTTTAGCTTCGCCTGCTTCTCACGCTCTTTCCTCTCCCTATTCTCTTTGGCTACGGCGACCATCTTTTCTTGCTGCTCAGCGGTATATGGGCTAGTGCTCTTCCCACTACGCAGGTCCACCATGGTGATAAGTGTACAACCGGGTTAGTGGTTCCAAACCTCACCACGTAGACTCTGACCCCTGACTGACACCTATTGACTCAATCTAATGACTCACAGAATCGTGACAGGGATCCTGCCAACTAGGATCTCTAGCCTAGACCTATACTATGGCTGTCACTACTGAACCAGTGGCTGATCAGGAGGCATTTAAGGAGATCCCCCGTAACTCCTCAAGAATTCTTTAACGTCGCAGACAGGACAACGTGATCAACTTGGTTCTGCCTATGCTTTCAGCCCACAACTCATCCTTTCCGGCCTACTGTGCCACACCGAGCAGCCCGCCGGTCTGTACCGGTCCTTCGGAGGGTTCGTATCCCTCGGGACAGTCGAGTCGTCAGACACAGATCATCAGCCT